ACCTCATTGCGGAAAGTAATTAACCTCTCCCCATAAGAGCACAACAAATAACATTCCACGAAGATTTCATCTGCGTTTAATGAACGTAAAACTTAATGGTCTCAATTAAATGACCGAGTACACTTAATTCTAGCAAGTTTAAGTGTAAACATGTTAAAATGTATTTTATTTCAATATAATTGATAAATTACTCAACATTTAGCTAAATAGTCATGTTTATTTGTATAATACTTCAAATAAAAGTAAATGGTGATTTTTTGATTGTGCAATTAAAGATGCACACATGTCAGCTTACTTTCTTGTGAAATTGGCGAGTCTTTCCGGAATAGCCAGTAGAGTTTCCTGAACTTAATTTCGAGATGTTCTCTTTTTGCTTGGATGTGATCTTTCCTGGTCAATCTTCTAGCTAGATCAGCGGTCGGGGAACTTTTTTAACCATTACCCCAAAATATTATTGCGTAAGTCGATATTACTCCCCCCCCATTCTGAATAGAAAACAATCAATGTAAATTTAAAATAAACATTATTTATTGAATTAATTTACATTTACATATTTATAAAAAAAGAGTTACATAATAGTAACAAATAGTAATAGACAAACAAAATTAAATTCTTAAATTGGAACAAACAACAATTAATTGAAATCTTTCCTCCTTCAGGTTTTGGAAAAATGATATTGCTTCATGTTTGATATAATTACTTTAAAATTGGGACTTTTTGATGAAAGTGCAATTTGAATACAGTCTTCGGCGTTTAATCGATTTCTGTTTTTCGTTTTTATGTTCATTAGAGTGGAAAAGCCTTGTTCACANNATACAGTATTGGATGGAAGTTCAAGAATTGCCTCTGCCAAACCTGGAGGTTCTGCTGGTATGTTAGTAATTTCACATGTAAAAGAATCTACAACCCAATTCACAGTTTGTACATCAAGATCTGAAAAGTAGTCAGAGATCCGCTCTCTGAGTTTGGTAAGATGAAATTAGAAAAATTTCCCTATTACCCAAAAAATTTTCATTTTTACCCCATTTTGGGTAATTTACCCCGGTTCCCCGACCGCTGAGCTAGATGCATACCCAGATATTTAACTTCATTAGCCGCCGGTATTATTTTTCTGTTAAAAGTCTCTGGTGGGCAAGGGTCCTTTATTATGGCGAAGGTGACATGCACTAATTTCACCCTGCACATGCACCCTATTGCAGTGCATCATCGGCACTACGCCTTCCCGATTTTTTTTTTCCGCGCCTCCCTTACCTTTTATTGTTTTAATAGATTAAATAATATAGATACGTTTTATTTATTTCAAGACATTATGGTATAAAAATTCCAGGTTGGAAACCGCTGGTATATAGAGAATGAGTACTAACACGCTACCTTGCGGTACACCTGATATAATTGGATACAAATTCATCACTGTATCGAACATTTTCACTTGAAATAATCTTCCTGTCAAATATGAATTTATTATTCTTCTTTAATTTATAGTGCAATCCCGTGTGCCACACTTTGTCCGACATCTGAGATACATCTAAGAATGCGCCTGAGCAATAGCGCTTCTCTTCCAGGTCCTAACTTATTCTATCTACCATTCAAATATTAAAACTCATAAAGTATAGTGCTAGATAAAAAAATGAATTATACAAAAATTGTGCTTATATTTTGTTTTTTTAAATAAGATGTTTTCGTGTAGCAAGGCTATGAAAACAAAAGACGCTCGCTGTTTCAAGGAAACTCGGTATTGATTATGTAATAAGTTTAAACCTTTGCGGCGACACTCACATAGTCAATAGCGCCTTTAAATAATTCAATTTCCCTGGGTACAGCGATTAGTCGAGTTATATTAACAGATTACTATATAGTGAACTTAGTCGTAACTAACACTCGACTCGAGATATCGCGCACCTAAGTTTGATAATCTCATGGCTTTGATAGCTCCAAGAAACGCTAATTTCCTAAACTACGATTCTGAAACTGACGACCACCAATACTCTATTTTGTTCATTCTTAAAATGATTTGGAGTAGATATTAGAAATTGTTCTTTCGTTTTTAGTAAAAATGTAACTAATATTGAAAATCGAAATTAAATTGAATTGGATTCAAGTATCATTTCAGTTATAGAAGTAATCATAAGTTTATTTGAAACAGAAAATGATAGAAGTAAAAAGTCATTTTATTAGTATTTTGATTATATACATACTACTTTTTACTTTTATTTAAATTATGTTTTATGTTTTTATTGAAGGAATAAAGTAATTTATAGTGAAAATATAACTAAAATGATTAAATCAAAATATAAGTTTAGTTATTAAAGTCAGATGTTATGAAGCTTATTTGTATACTTGTTAGGATTTAATAACTGGAAGTTTATTGAGGTGTAATTTCGTAAAATTAGGCATCATTTTTGTTGTTGAATGAATTGCAAGTAGTTGTGGATGTAGAAAATTGCATCGCCGAGGACATAAGAAACGTTAAATATTGCAGCCTCAATTGATTTGCAATTAGTCATAACCAATATGATGGAATGCAGTTATAAGGTGATTGGAACTGTTAACATTAAAAGTGTTTAATCGATATGTAAGGAAGGTAAATGGTGGTAATTTACATAGGTATTGATCAGTCGCGTTACGATGTATTTTTTTTTTCATACATTGGATGGAAGTAATGAGGATATAGAAGTATTGCTGCTAGAGAAAATAATATGAATTTGAAAGCAGGAAAATTGTTTTGCTCCGGAATGGCATTACGGCATGTCGTCGCGTTTGCATAGTTGATGAATTCGTTTCATGCATTCCTTCCGTTTCGACGACAATGCAACAAAAAGCACGAAGGATGCAAGAATACATACACACACACATACCAGATGGATCAATTTTACGTTGAGAACTTCAAGTTTTTCCTTGGTGGTTTTGCAGGTGAACTTCGTTAACGTTATTCGTGATTATGTGAGAGCGATGATGCTGATTCATTTTACTGTGATGATCATCAATCATCGTCGGTGGACCTTTTCCAAATAATGTTTGCGCGCCTGCATTTGTCGGGGAAGCTCCAAATTATTGGCGTGAACAACACACAAAACATACAAAGCACAAGAGAGAGCTCCAAAAACAAAACTACAAAGCACACGCGCTCGGACCAACCGAAATTCACACGCAAATCCTCATCACAGTACATCCAGTTTTTTTTTAAATTTGCTGTTGTTGCTTTCGTTTCTATTTTTATTTTGCCCTGCAAATTAGTCCATCGTGCATAATCAAATCACCGGATTTGCTTTTCGGGTAAAAAAAAATCGAAATGCTGAAAACATTAAAATTCAGGAGTTTATCGATCTTCCAATTATAAAAACCAACGTAACAGTTAATTGTACTACCAATATTCATTTAATGAAATGACTTTATATTAACACAAATATGTTTTTCGATTCGATCCACACAATTCTAACATTAACATAAAATATTATAAATTAAGATTATAAAAGAAAACGAAATTAAAATTCAGTCAATTTAAACATCAAACTCGAATAAAATTATATTGAAAACCTTCTAGTCAGAGGTAAAGTAGAAATCGTACGTTATTCATGGATAAGTATGGCCAGTATCCTATGTCTATTAAAATGTTGTTACATCTAATAGAAACTTTCTTGAAAAAATGCTATTGTGTAACTGCGGACAATTTTTACACGTCTCACCAAGTTGATGATTATTTGATACAACATGAAACAGACATTTATGAAACTCTTTGAGTGTATAGAAAGGATCTGCCTTCAACTTTTCAAAGTATACAAGTGAGAAATCAGAGCTTATCATGACCCTAAAATGCCAGGCAAAGAAAACAATTTGTACATTGAGCACAACCCTAGATAGTAAAATCAAGGAAAGGTGACGAATTTATAAAACCTCAGTTAATATGTGACTACAATACCACGATGGCGACGTTGACAGCGCTGAACTAAACATTTCTTATTACAAGACCACTTGAAAACAACATTACAAAAAAGCGTTTCGGTATCTCTTTCATCAGTCCCTACTCAATGCATGTATTATTTTCCAAAAAGTTTCGATATCTTTTTCTTGGAATTTAGAGGTTATTAAAGCGATTTAATACAGGCATCATGCTTCATATATACAAGGAATACAACAACATTCCAAATCCACTAAAAAAGGAACTTCGTAAAATATGCAGTGCTGATGTATAAAAAAAAACGAAGTATGGAACCTTGTTTCAAGATATATCCAGTAATATTATTACGTAAGTAAGGTTTTTTTCTGATAAACGCGATAATCACTTTCAATATACTGTTATATACCAATTAGCTTTATTCTCAATGATTTCAACAATTCTAAAATTAAACTAGTAACAAATTTAGGGCAGAAAGATGTATGATTAACCCTTTATAGCAGTTGATTTTTGTTTGTTGGATTATTATTGTTATTGTATGGAAATATTTTTTTTCTTGAAATATTTTTGATATATTTATGAAAATTTGATAATTAATGAAATAATTTATAACAAAAGGATTAAATATCATAACGTTTCATTTATATATTAAATTTTGCACTAAAAATAAAATCAAAAATACTTAAATTGCAAATGAAATTAATGATATTTTAATAAATGGAAAAAAATAATTATACATTATAAATATAGCGCTTAATACATGTATGAATGTCAAACACATTCTGTTTGTTTCCCATCTGGCGCTTTTTCTTTTTCTCTTGTAATGACGCAATTGCTACTTGAAAGCCCATTGTTACGAAAAGTCCTATTTGCATGAGAGCTTTCAGCTGCCAACGTTACGTTGTTGCGTTTTCACATGCGCTCCTTTCATCGTCTGGCTTCAATTTAATTTTTAAATACTTTTCAGAAAATATTTCGCGTAGAAAAACGTACTCCCATTTATACCCATAATAAGAAGCGCACATTTCCACTACACTTTTTTTTTATTCATTCATTCATTTATTTTCCTATTCGCCGCACAGAAATTGCTGCTACTTTAGCAACTTACCAATTTACTTTGAAGCCTTACACTGACGATCTGCAACAAAGGAAACATAAAAGTTATAAAAAATACTTTTTATTTCCGACAAATTATCAATATACTATAAGAAGGATTTGCTAATGCAACCAATTGCGTACCAATTCGTCCTGCTATTACATTGCGTGGGTCCCTATATTCGTTTAGAGCCCAATAAATAAAATTGTGTGGGTCCCAGAAATGCAAATTCAGGAATTCATATTTGCGTTTCTGTTTCAAAATTAGTTGAAGGTCAATAATTTTCTTACCAATACAAATTTTAATATAATTAAATAATTAATACTTAATTATAAATAGTTATGTAGCAATTCGTGCTACTATGATGTTTTTTTAAATTATTTATACTCGAAAATTAAGAAAAAAATCAAACTTGCTCTATACTTGATTCTATACTCGACTGGGGCCCAAAAAATATAATTGCGTGGGTCCCTGAAATGCAAATTCGAGAGTAGATAAAATTGTAGTCTCAAAAGTAGTTGAAGATCAATAATAGTTATGTTTGCTCTGAAAATATGAAGAAATCATAGTGTACTAAATATTGTATTCTCTTTTTTGTTGTTGTTGTTGTTGTGACAATATAAATACGACGGAATGAAATTACACGATTATGGTCGATTTGAGACCCGCAAGTGGTTGCCGTTTTTTGCTTACCCTAATGACCAGATTACATACATATAAATTGATAAAACGTAGGAAGTAGAGAGATGTTGCGGTAATGTACACGAAGTAGTCGAAATTAATAGTTTTTGTTTGGACGCGAGGGGCGGCTTTTTTGGACGGATTAATATTCAGTCGGTGTGTGCGGATTCCCGTCTAAATCATCCCTTATCGCCGCATCCTCAGATTACGTAGGTCCATTCGCCGTGAAACATGGCTATATCCACCTAGCAATTGCAAACTTCGGTAATTACCTTTCATTTATTCATTCATTATACAAATTGTTTATATCAACTACATAATACAAAAAACACTGTCTAAATCACAAATATTAACATATTTTTCAAATTTATTACCTTCCAACTTATTAATTTTTTTTTAACAGTTTTTCAAATGAATCGTTGTTCTGAAATGCACTAGACAATATAAAAATATCTACGTTTCTAGGTTTAGTTGAGATTTGTATAATTGCGGTGCGGTGAATATTAAAGCGAGGGTGATACACGCTAATGCACATTACGCTTGTAATGTAGTAATCACATTAGTCCTCATTTGACATTAAAAGCGCCATACCATTCCTTTCTATCATTTTAAATGTCTGCTTCATTCACGTTATTATTCATTGAAGAGATATCTTTTGTTGTACTTATTAGTTAAGTTTCAAGTAGAAAAACATACAACAACAATAGATTAGTAATGAACAAAAGAAAATTGAAATATATCATTTTAATGTTGCTAAAATATATATATGAAAATTGTCAAAATAAATATTTTTTTATATATATTTTGTTGGTTTTTTTTTTCTTAACAAGATGACTTAATTATTGAGTTGGTGCATAATTATCAGGCGTTTCTTATTAATAAAAATGACTGCTTTGTTTACTTTAAAAACAAATCTTCCAAACAAATGGGAAGTTGTTATTGAAGTGAATATGTTCCGGAATAATCATAGAAAAATGTTATTATAGAATGTTTATGTTTATTTTTTCATAAACAAATATTGCTTAAAGAACGTCTGATAATTATGCACCAATCCAATTGTTCAGTTTAAGTTGATAGATGTCGCTACTACTTTTCAAAGTTAGTTTCTGTTTTACGATAAAGTAAAATTTTAGTTAAATTTTAGACGATTTAAGCAAACTCATAAATAAATATGAACAAAAGTTTGAATGTCTTTATTGTTACCAACAAGAAAAAATGTTGAATGTCTTATTAAGAAACTTGTCTGAAAACGGAAAACTAGAATAATAATGTTTAAAACCTAGGATAAATTTGGACAATGACAGATCAAAGAAGAGAAGAAAAGGGTCATTTATTATTTTTGTAATAATTCTGTGTATACATTTTAAAATTACCGAACTTCGATCTAAATTCTATGAAAAAAAGACAACATGCATAGAAAACCTAACTTAAACGAAATTAGTTCCTCTTTAATTAATAGATGTCGCGACTATTTTTCACAATATGTTTAATTTTTTATGATTGATTTATTATTATCATTAACATTGATGTATGCGTGTAACTAATTTTATATTTGATATACGTCATTTGGTAATTTTATAGTTTTTGGGTATGTAATATTATTATTGATTTGTTGTTGTTTTGAGTAATAATAGGTTTATAGTGATTCTACGTTACTTTCTATGGGTTGTAGAGGAGGGCGATTCGATTAATAAACCAGTTCCCCATTATCACAAGGGTGGTGGTAGGGGAGCACCGGAAGCTCATAGAAAATTCTATTACTGTATAAATTCAAGGCTGTTTGAATGTGTATATGTAGCTCGGCTCGCGGCTCTGAATTATGCAGGCCGCAGGCTTGCCAGATTTCAGGGGCGGCTGTTGGAGACCTTAGGTTAATAAGAATATGTCCGATTGTTATTCAGGCAATTCGGAGGGCCATGAGGAGGATGAGGACTTAAGATCGGAGGTGGCGTCGCCAACAATTTCGTCCTTCCTGAGGCTTCCAAATAAGATCGAATCTGCAGACGATCCTCGAGGGTGGGGTGTAGAGATGGATCGCTTATCAAATATTCATCGGACCCCGGATTCCGTCCTGAACAAGATTATGCCATCAGAGTATTGTTTACTCGCTCGCTCTCGCGCAAACCGCCTCCGATGACGACACACTTTCATTTCGGGCGTCCCGAAATTAATCTTCCAGATACAGCGGGATTATATTGGCGCCGCCGATGATGTCTCATCAAGTTACACCCTTTATTTCAATCTGAAGACAATCGGTTTATTAATCGTCTGTGAAAGGGTTTCACCTGAAGCTTAGATTGTCTGCACTAACCATTATTACATACCTTCAAAGCAGTGTGTTAATAATGATGCTCCATTATATGACTATCAAATCCCTTAAAAGCCAACACTAATTTACCTGTTTACATTCCAACTAAGAAAACCTTCAGTGAACTAAAGTTCATCTGATTTCATCAACTGTTCGTTGGAAATTAAAATAAACTCTAAAGTACTTTTAATGGAATTACTATTTTATAATTTTCTATTTATATTTACAAATATAATATCTGTATAATAAAAATATCTGTTTTAATTAAGAAATTGTTTAGTTCACTCTTTTTTTTGTAACGAGAATGCAAAATACATTAAATCAAATTGATGGATTCTCACGATTTTATCAACATCAAATATACATCGACTGAATTTCACCAACTGAGACAAATTCCATGAAAAATATTGCGAAGGGAAATTAATATTAAAATACTTTTAATAGCTTTTTCAAGTACTCTTTAATAATTTCCTATTTATATTTTAAACTGTAATGCGACAGTCCATAAGAAATATTAAATATATAAGAAGTCCACTGATTTATTGGGTCGTAAAAAAATAAATTTTTCTGGTGCAGTGTTTCTTTTGCATGACGTCTGTCAATGTTACATTTAAATAGTTTTGGCATTTGTCAGCTGTGAATTTTAGCAAATTAGGTGTTTTTTTCTGTGAGATTTGTTTATGTGGATTCAATTTTAACATGGACAACAAAAACGTTCAATTTCGTCATAGTTTGCTGTATTATTTCCGAAAACAAAACAACACAAGCTGCTAAAAAGTTAAGCAATGTTTATGGTGATGAAACTCTGGTTTTTCATTCAAAAATGTATTGCAATATGGTAGGTTGACGATGATCAAATCAAAGCTATAGTTGATTCGAATTGTCATATTCCTGTCCGAGATAGAAAGGTTAAATTTATCGCACTCAACAATTGAAAATCATCAAAAAACGTCAAGAGTTGGCGAATCGTAAAGGTGTTATATTCCAATATGACAACGCTAAACCACACACATCATTAGTTTTCTTGGGAAGTGATGTTCCCATATGTTCAGAGGCTTACACAATTCCTTGAATTGTAAAACCTTTAATGATGATAACGCTGTTAAATTACACCTAGTTCAGTTTTTTGCTCATAAAGATCAGAAGTTCTGTGATAATGAAGTTAAAGGAAAGATGGCAAATGGTTATTGATCAAGAAAATCGCCAATTACTTTGTTGCCAATAGTTCATGTTATATTAATACTTTATATCAGCTTTATTCTGTTTTATCAGGGAATCATTTTTTCTTTGTTAATTGGAGGTATTTGCCTATAAGTTTTTATTTTTACAATTGATTTCTCTGAAAAGCAATATTCATCATCATTTATACAGGTTGAAGTATCTATGAGAATATGGCGATTCACAGCTTATTAAGTTATTATGTGTCTTCTTGCAAATGAAATATAGATACTATAGATTTTAAGTCAGTAAACTAATGATTATATTAGTAAATGTTCAAATAAATGACAGAGCGAAAGGCTGTATTTTGTTTAATAAACCTGAACTTGATGGCTGCGGATGTGATTATCTGGATGGCAGACGCGCGGAGGAGCGAACACAATGACAAATAATCGTTGAGTAAATTTAGTAAATCTAGTGTACACAGAATGGAAATTGCTCGGTCGAGCTTATCGAATTATGTACGTATGTGCACGTAAGAACTGCGTGTATATGAGCACAGTGATTTCTCTTCTATGCCCATTGTTGAGCCATGCAGTTGAACGTCTTGCGGTGCACACGTACGTACAGAACAAATGTATCAAGAGTAATTCACTTCTGCCCGGAAAAACTAAATAGATTGCAATTTATTGATTTCGAATCGAAGGCAACGACGACCGTTTTTCAGCAAAAAATAATCCTGCTAAATAAATAAGGCTATTATTCTAAGCTTATTTCCCTCGAAAACTTCCAATTATTAAGGACCACTTAAATTCAACATAAATAATGCTGTACCTTTTTCGCTGAGTTATGCAGAAGAAGTCAATGCGCGATTCGAATTTGATAAGCTCGAAAT